CAATTGATGTAAAGGGCAAGCCAAATTCCAACAAGCACGTTTTCCAAGCAGAGACGAATTCGTTGATTCGAAATAAGGCACCAATATAGTTCTCTTTGGTCTCTTTTTACCCGCCTATTTAAACAAACAGACTGGCTTAAAATTAAAGAGCCTTCTTGGATTTAACTGAAAGGCTTGGCATATCTCGTGGCTACCTCTAATCTCTCGGAGTAGTACATGGCAATCACTTCGAGATCAGAGAATCCGCGCTCTTCAGGCATTGTTGACCTAGAGCTGGTCATTTCAGTGAAAAGTAACGATCGCTCAGGTCTGCGCTTGTCAATCAGTCAGTCATTTATTTTGACTCGTTAGGTCGAGGTGCTAGAAAACTCGTTCAAAATACGAACGTGTATAAATAAAATCTATAATAATTACTGCTATGTTATGATATTATTCAATTTTAAAAACAACTCAATAAATATATAAAAAAACTTAGTAATAAAAACATAAAATATAAAAAGCTAAAACCCACTTAAAAACCACAAACTAAAACGGTGACTGGAAAACTATAAAACACGTTCTAAAAACAATAAAAGCCACAATCGTGCACTATAAGGCACGTTCTAAAAAGCTGCAATTGTGCAATTTACTTCTGAAGTCATTAGCATCACTTGAAAGAAGTAACTTGAGAAAGCAAACTCTTCCATAACTTAATTAGTTAAAATATTCTTCTTAAATTTAAGATTAAAGTTAGGTAATTCCAAATTCAAGCCCTCGCCTCTTAGCACATACGGTGTATGCCTATATTTAAAAAGGCTTCCAATATAAGTAGGTCCCTTACCATTTAAGCATTTAAAAAGAAGTATTAACGCCTGGTGTAAGCGCCTACAATATAAAGATGTCATGCTAGCCGTAGTGAGCAGCTCGTCGTATGACATTGACTTGTTGTGCCCGATTAATTTTCTCAAAATATAACAGTTGCCATCTTCGAGACGGTTGCGTTGACCTGTACCTATAAATGCCTATAAATAAAGGACTGCAGTATTCTAAATGAGGTAATATAAATGCTTTATAAAGTTTTATCGTTGCAACAAGAGGAAGAAAACGCCTTATTCTTCTCAGCGCAGAGGTCTTCGCGCAGGCTTTCTTTAGTTGATCTGATATGTCAGGAACACCCAACGACGGTTTCCTCCTAAATACATTGAAAACACGTTTTAGGCTATCCAGAGTACTTTTAGATATCTAGAAATGTATTCTAAGCGAAGCTATAAAATTTGTAGTATCTGTTGGGTAATCCTAGGGAAATTACAAGGGCTTCAGTATTATTTTCCCGAAAATTTTAGGGGCAATTTAACGTTTTACAAAAGTAAGAATTTTTCTGATTCCTGTCTCCATCACATTTTTAAATCCGACAATTTCAGGTTTCCTTTTTTCTAGAAGAAAAAGCCTAACCTGTGAAGTGAAATGTAAAAAATTAAACTTCAGAAAATCATAGGGAATTTATTAGATAAGCTTCGAAAGTTCTTCATGAATTGAACGTGCATCTAGAAATTTTTAGCTGTCCTCAAGTTACAGAAAATTTTAGGCAATATTTGCTTCTCTTCTTCTATTTACAGAAAACAGTCGTTTCAAGTGCCCCTGATATGTGTTCTTTATAGGATAGGTCCTTGAATAGAGTAACTCCAAGAATCTTTAAAATAGATTAGAGAAATTCTATTCTAACATTATTATGAAATAAAGAATAATGATAGTCACAGGGTCCGACAGATAATGCTTGAGTCTTAGTACTGTTCAGTGTTAAATGGTTAGACTCAAACCACGACTCAAGAGTCTATAGATCTTTGTTGAAGGAAAATTCTAGAATGGTGGGAGATACATCTGACAGGTAGGCAGTCGTGTCATCAGCGTACAGCCGCAATGAGACATTAGGAACACAGAAATTCAAGTCATTAATGAATATGTGTTAACATGTTTTGAAGTTAGAGCATACGCCTTCTAATCTGGCACATTGTTGACGACATTGTTGTGGTTGGTAGGGTGCAGGTGAGAGGGCCCAGTTGTTGGAACGCTGGTTAGCGTTAACCCGGGGTTAAATTTAACCACGCTTTCTTTTTCTTTTTATCAAGAGCACGCTCTCGGATAATTTTCTCTACTCTTTTTAAAGTATCCAATCATCAAATTGTAGGCAAAGAGAATTAAACTGAATTTGCTTTTTAAGCTTTCATATCTTAGTTCAAATTTCTCACTAACCCTGGGTTATCTTAACCTGGCTTCGAACAACCCGGCTCAGAAGGCTATAGATGTTTGGGAAAGCATCTTCATCGCATATCACCAACTGGTAACAAAAGGTTGCCTGGAAGCTCCTAATCTGTTGATTGCCAGAGTGTTTACCATCTACGTTCCTAATTTCCCGCTCTCGGAACCAATCAGATTGCAGGATTTGGAGGATTCCGCCCGCTTGCGAGCTTTTATTATATGGCCTTTTTACTATGGACCTGAGCCTGCGATCAATTACAACCAACAAATGGTCATTGGATAACTTTTAAAAAACACGGTAGGTCAACAAGTTGTATACTTGAGCCCGCGATACAGTCATTTGACATTGGTCAGCGTATACCCTTTTTGACAGGGTCAATTGACCATAGCATGTATGTCCATTAGGATGACCACTATCAAGTTAAACACGGACTGTATAAGCCTTGGACAGCTAGCTAGTAATGCCCGGTCATTTCAAGAAAATAGCCCGTCAGAGCGCCCGTACTGTTGAAGCCATATAATAAAATCATGTATTGCTTTTTTGCCGTTCTCGTTGCCATGTAACGCATGATTAAATCTTTTTTATGTTTTTGGGGGGGGGGGGGGGTGGTGGGGATGAATAGCTATCTACGCCGTTTCCAATCCTGATCCAAACCAAAATCCGGCTTCTCTTCGATGCTGTTTGTCCAAGTTGTCCTTTGAAGAATCCGTTCGCCGGTTTGTTTGGCCATTTAATACGGATTTTCAACTTCCGTACTTGTGTCTACGGAGATGGAGTGAAAGCACTCTCCTGCCACCACTGTAGCCTGGGAGCGATTCCCCCGGGGTGATGACGTCATACAGTCAAGGCATCCATACGTACGTCGGGTTTTTCGTGTGGTTTTGGATACTCCGCACGGTTTTCCCCTCTCGTCCACTACCAACACTTTCAAATACAAGTTCGATGTGGAACGATCGAATACTTTCAGATAAGTTCGTGGGTAAAAGAAGAGAAGAGAAGATTGAGCATTCACCTACAAAGAAATTACTCTGATTTCAAAAATTGGGTTAATTAATACTTCCATTTTTCCATTCTGCTCTTCTTCACGATGCGGAATGGTCAGCCAACTGTCTCTCTCTCTCTGTCTGTCTCTCACACACTCACACACACACTTAGGATGAAAGGTGTCAAATGTCTAGTAAAGGAACGGCTTACGCTTTGTCGTTTTCTGGCTACCCCACCCTGTGTTATCTGACACATTTTCCATGATCTCTCCCCCATTCCCTTATCAGCTGCTTGAGAAATTTAGAAATTCGTGATACGTGATGTTTAGATCCTCTTATACAATTCATTTTGTCATCAAATATAGAATATAAGTTCCTCTTCCTCGATAGTTGATTGCAGTAGTTTTGATTTGATAGCTTCTTAAGACCTTGACAAGGGATTCCGTTTATCAGTTTTCATCCTACAGCTTTAACGAGGTTTTTATTCAAAAATTAAAGCGTAGGAATAGTAGAATTTGACCCTAGGTAAAGAGAGTTCTACATGTGGCTTAAAAACACGTACAGTAAATTAGTCTTAATTACAACAAGTATATTTGTAAAGAACTCGCCCACATTTTGGTCTTCTCAGGTGGTTTTACAGGACACGCTTTTCGAAAACGGAAAGCTACTGTGCGCCGAGTAATAATATCAAAGATCCGATTCTTGGTTTTGACAGAAATCTGTGCAATTTGGCTCGGAATTTAAAAAGAAAAAAATTGGCTGGTTTGGGGCTTCCATAATTCAGATTCGGATTCTAGCCCGAAAAGGAGCCCTATTCAGTAAACGAGATAGTTCATCTCGAGTAAAAACCCAATTTTTCGGCGGCTAAAAATTTCTATACTGAAAATTAGAATCGGTTAGATTATGCAAATATGGAGAAAATGTTATGACAAATTGTTCCGTTTATACGACAAGATCTCCTTCTAATGTTAGGAAGAATCAGACCGATCAAATTATACATCACTTTCCAAATTATTTGTATAAAGGAGCTAGTCCGTGTGTCTATATTATATAAACATTACATGTTAGTCGAATCTGACAGAGTTAATTATTCACACTCCCGCATAAATTTTACCATATTAAGTGTTTTATTGAGCACCGATGTGAAAGCATAACATATGAAAATCAGTATCGTTGCGAGTAATTAATTGGTTTTCCTGCTAAAGGTGTCATTCAGTCTGTAATTTCTTTATCTCTTTTTGACACATAATTTCTGTTCCTCATTCGTTCTTAACTTTGACGAATTAATTAATCAGCATTGTGTCTAATCTGTACTCAAACACAACGAACAAATACAGGCTACAAACGGATGTGTGGGTCATGGGGCTTTTTTTTCTCGAATTCAAAAACCGTGATTTAGAGCAGATTTTAAGATTTCCTTTGAAGATATTGTCTAAAATTTTACTTTTCGGCTTGTCAGACATGATATTTTTTTTCAAAATTAAAGTCAATTACCGATGACAAAATGTAGATTTTATGTGCATGTCCTTTTTAACGCCACATTTGAAATATAAATTGTCTTTTTTAACGTCAGCTGGCTTAGATCGTGTCTGAAGACGATTAAAACAAGTCACATGACCCAGGTTGATCAACATATTTAATGTTGGAGAACAGATGGCACAGTCAAGAGAATTATCAACATTCAAAATGAAGTTGGGCCAAAGAGGCGCAAATCCTTTTTAGCAGTTTGAAACAGGGTTTAGAGCTCAAATTTTAGGGCATTTCGCTTGCGGTTTAACACCATGAACATGTCCAGGCAACAGCTTCCCAGAGGCAACAAACTTTTGCTGCCAAAAATCGAGTACGCAAGAATGGTTGAAGCGGAACCGGTTAACGGGCAAAAGCCAAACACTAGTTCGGGAACAGAAAAGAACAATGGGGAATTAGAAGTTGCAGAAAAGGTTCCACTGTTAAATAACGACTACAATACAGGTTCTTTTACGCGCTTTTCTGTCCTGCCTCCAATTAATGACAGCGTCCGCAACGCGAGGAGGTTGAGTCGGTTCCGGCGAATTTCTGGCGCGTTCGTGTCAGCGAATGGGCCGAGTCCGACTTCAAACCACGAACTTGCAAACAAAAAAGGCGACAATAACAAATCACATAAATACGCAGGGTTCTCCAGTGTGGCTGTTCAACAGCGAAGAGCTTCAGCTGTAGATCACGAACGTATACAAAGTCTTCAAGTCGTTGGTAAACCTTATTCGAGAGAGGAATATGATATTACAACTACCCTATCGATTCATGGCAAGCTTAACGCAAAGAGCCCTCGAAGATCTTTTAGTAGTCCTATGCCAACAGACACCAGTGATTCCAATTGCAGTGCTTGTAAAACGCTTTTAGCACGGCGGCGTTCGAAAACCGAGGGTGCAATGCACAGTGGAAACCCCGAGAGCGTGCAAACATACCAAGTTGCTCATACGTGCAATAAAAATAAAGTGTATACGGAACATATTTTAAAGAGGTTCAACTCGGAGGAGCTGTATTTGCGCAATGACAATATTGTCTCGGAACAAAACAAAACTGTTGCACCGTCTTCTCGAAGAGGAAAAAAATCGGCAAAATTAATCTCCAAACCCGAAATAACAATAAATTTAAAGACAACAAATTTGGCAGTTTCCGATGGAAGGAGGCCTGTTAGCAGATGTGAAATTAGCTTAGATGTAAACGACGCGACTCAACAACTGCAATTGGTAACAGATCGAGAAAAGAAGCAGGCTTATTCTCAAAAACGAAATTTCAATCCACCGTTAATACAAATTGATAACATGGACACGGAGGTCCCCGGGAAACAAAATGAAGAAACGCCTTCAGCACCGGGAATCCCACAAATTCAAATTTTAATCGATTCGCTGGAGAACGCTAAAGAAGAACGTCCTAAAGAGGGGAGAGAAGTTCCTTACACTTCGGTCAGAGAGCAAAGAAGACGATCTGCTCTCTGCCGAACTAATTCCAAACAAGTAGACGATTTTCTTCTTGTTCATAATCTACGTGATCTGGGCTTACTTTAAGGGAATTAATAGATTTAATCCGCAGAAAGCTTGGTTCATGTTCCGTTTAGATTGCCGGTGTTTGCAGTTTTCTTGACAGGTAGTTGCCAAGTTACGCCTGAGTCTACATTAGAGGGAGGGCAGGTGATGTATCAATGCTCAAAACCGAAAGAATTAACGCGTTTTCTCTTCGATTACGTGTCGCTGTCGAAGTCAATCGGAAGGGACACGGAAGATTTGATTTTTTGAACGGATAACAGCACGTATTTTCCGGCTGTTTTCTAAGGGAAGTTTTTCAAGTGATCATACGAGTTTCTTTTGAAATTTACTTTTAATATGAATTATTATGCGAAATCACTATGAATGAATTATTCATTTCGAATAAACGTAAAACTTTTTCCATCTTATAATAAGTGACATTTTCAGAAAGTTCACCATTAGAAAATATCTGAAAATACTGAATTATGCTGGTAAATACTTTTGGGCCATTTTTGGATGCAAGTCCCCAGTCGCTGTTATGAAAGGATGTTAAGTATTACAACTGATCAGCCCATATCAAGCATTGAAAAGACCGCATTATATTTTTAATCTCGCAGAAATGAAAAACCAAACTGACCACTCTTGAATTTGTTTCATTTGTTGGCCATTGAGTTAATCCCTGATTTCCTTTGTAAAAATATAAAACGAAGCTACGAAGTCTCTTTTCGTTTAAACGCAAGAATTTATGTTAAAGAGAAAACCATTTGCAAAAAGGTTTGACGGACACGTTGGTAACTTGTTGGGCCGAAAATGGTGTTTTCTCAAGCTCCGCAAGATTCATGCCCCCCTCCCGTTATCAAACTAAAAAGTTAAAAAAGAAGAATTCCAAGATCATATTTACTGTCATGAAAGTCGTTTAAGTTCAGTAGCACTTGAGAGAAAAGAGGTTTTCTGTTTTAACAGAAGTCGCAAAAGTGTCTCCACCTTTTTCCAACTGACTCCCAACTATAAACTCGTTGTCGCCTAAGAGTCTACCGAACTGACGTCTAATTTTGCAGTTAAATCCCCTCCGTGATCTCTTTTTCCTCTAACTTTTCTCTTTCTATACCGCTTGGCAAAAGCCATTTATTTTCCCATCTCCACTTTCTGCAGCTCTCTTGGTCCTTTTCACTAGCCGACAGCTCTGAAAGCGAAAATATTAACTCAAGGGTTGACTTTGTTTTCTACAAAAGAAACCCTGATCCACTCACTTACTTCTGACTTATAGTTCACGCCGGCCTTTAAGTGACTTTTCTTTCAGCTATACATTGTCGGATGAGAAAGGTCAATTTCCTGTGTGTAAACATCGCATAAATTGCTGTGTCTTATCAGTCTGTAATGTATGGTAAAAGTTTACATGTACAAGGCTAAAAAGCTTGTCTTTATCAATATAACTATACAATACATAATTCTGACGTGAAAGATTAGAGCTATACCCGGATGGGGTCTTGATTTCGTGTAAGAAACCAGCAGTTTTAACTTAATAAAGAAAACACACAATTGTTTTGATTGCAGCTGAACAATCTCTTACTTCAAGAGAAAACCATTAAAATAAGATCGCTTTAAATTTCAACTTCAACAGCAAAGTTCATATCAAGTAACGTGGAAATTACAGTTGTAGGGGAAACAAATATTTTCAGAAAAATCATGAGATTTGGATTGGGGATTAAAAACGAAATCAGGGGAGTAGCTATTTTCGATGGCGACCAACTGCGCTACAGATGGTGATTACCATTATCACAGATGTATATTTTTAAACTTCTTATGATGAAAAGATGAGGCAAACGCAGTCATATACTCCTTTTAAGAAGATGGTAATTTATTCTCTCGCAAACCTAGCGGACATAGTTAAAACTAAATTTCCGTCTTATTTCGTATACTAAAACTGAGCGAATATTTGTAACTAGCCAGTCAAACGAGTTACAAACTGAATAATAGGCCTTACTTAAGCCAAACGTGGAGGAAAAGGAAAAAATGATCGCGGAGCGCGAGTTGAGAGTTCAGGCTCTGGGTTGAAAAGACATCGAGGTAAGCGAATGCTATATTCAATATCGTGCAAGCTTATCCGGAAATAACCTAAAATTCTCAAAAACACCTGCCGGCGTTAGAGGAAAACTTTCAAGCCAAAAAATTGGCATGATTCCCTTGTTCTCTTTTTGTTGTTATCCAAATATAACTAAGGGTGAATTTCCACTGTCGCGTTATTTTAACCCATGTGTAAGCGCGTGAAATTACGTACGTATCATAAAATGAAGGCAACGTATGAGAGGTTGCAAGTAAACGAAAAAGTTCAGAGCGTGACACGTGAAAATGACGAGTATTTTTTCTATGGAAGGTATACGAGAGGGGTAAATTTTCCGTCAAAAATGTTTTATAAAAGGGTTGGACCTCGAGGCGGAATGGGCCTCTCCGTCTTTATTGAGTAGTCCCCCCGGGGTGTGGCAGGCGTTCGAAGAGATTTCGGGGATGTCCCTCTCCTTCACTCTCTAACGTCTGCCCTGCAGGTTAGTTTGTCGCTGTGGTTTTGCCTGTAAAAGCGACATTAGTGGCTTTAGCTTTTTTAAAACAGGGAGCAATCTACGTCCTGAATTACCCTCGATACAAAATCAACTTTTTTAGTTTCGGTTAAAATAACTATGGCAATTTTATTTCTCAATGACAGACAAAGCAGCAAAACTGATACTAGAAAATGAGTCTCCGCCCGCTAAGAGTGAATAATCAGATTATTCTCTCTTGCCGGAATAAATGCCATACCATTTTTCCAGCGACACAGCAGCGTTAAGACGGAAAACGGTGCATCAACCTGTTCAGGGCGTCCAGATGGTGTGGAACAAAGCAAGTGTAGAATAGAGGAGAGGGGATTCGCCGGTAAAACCTCGGGTCAGGGAAAATGGTCCATTTGCGCTTCATTCGCGCACATCCGCACACCATTAGATCCAGAGTAAGGGTAATTACATGGGACCGGGACGAACTCGGACCAGTATGAGTTCGTATCGCTCTCCATACATTTCCTTTCATGCATTTACATGGGACCGGCCTAAAAACGAACTCAGAGCGGTCTGACTTTGTGTCGGTCGCTGACCCGACACGAGTTATTTTCGTACAGGTCTGAGACTGTACCGTTCTCATGTAAAACGGAAACGAATCTCAGACCGGGTCCATAAATAGCATGTTTCTTCGTATGGCTCCATCATTTTTTGCTTTTTTTTTTTTTTTTAGCAAAATAAGAACACTACTATGAATAACTGTAAACAAGACTTAGAAGTAGCTTCAACTGAATATATGCTTCGGTTGATGTGAGGGGTTGCACATCTTGAGATGCTGTGCATTTAACATGCCACCAGATGAGCGTTAGATAAAGTTTACAATTTTCTGGGAGCAGTAAAATCTACGGTTCTCTACTCACTGTCTTAATTGGCGTAAATTGTGTACCAGTTAGGACAGTTAGTGAATAATATGTTAAATAATCGACTTAAGAAAGTTATATAGCTAAAAGAATCTCCTGTTTTTGAGTTTGTACCGGTCTCATGTAATAGACGAAACATTTCGTCCCGGTCTCATGTAAACGACTGCAAAAATTACAAATTCGTTCCGGTGTCATAGTGATATGGGCATCCCCATTCCCATATCCCTAGCGTTTTGGGCATACCAGGTAGGAGATGCCCAAGACGCTGATCGCTTCGACTTTGCCTAAATTATTTCCGACTGGGGAAAAGTCAATCACGAATTTACGGCTGAATAGTGTAGATGCATGTTAGAATTATATCGTCTGACACTTTTCGCCGGGTTTATTGCGCAGAAAAAAAAAACCATAGGCAGTAAACGTTGGCTCAAAACATGACGAACCTGAAATTTACAACCGCATAATATCACTTCGATGTACAACACTTCATTGTTTGCAAAGCTTCAATTTTATTTAATAGAACTGTTTACAAGCGAGCAATGCCGCAATCACCGGCAGCTGCGATCGTCTGATTCCAAACAGCCAAAAACACGAATACTAAACAAAGCAATCAAAAGACAAACATGAATAAAACTGCGTTTTGCAATGTTGCATTCATAGTATGCATGACATTTGAGGCCTGTAGAACTTTTGTGAAGAAGTGTGAACAAATCGGTCCCAGCTTTTCACACTGTGTATCACGAGGGAGGGAAGGGACAGGGTTGTGGGTGGGGTAGTTGGCTTGGCCAAAAACGTCTAAAAGAAGTAAAATATAGACAAAACTTTTCTGAGTTGATTAAGAAAACCTGACATCGTCAGCCTATTTTACCATCTTCGGCTTCTGCTGCATTTAATTAAGTGCCGGATTTTTTTGGTGTCGATCAACTCCCTTGCCTTAAAATTTTTTGTAGTGTGGTTCAGCCTAGATAAAAAAAGAAGAGAAAACAATCTTGTTGACGCGTCATTTCAGAATGCGTGCAAATATTGGCGGGCTTTTAAAATCAAATTTGCATGTTTTCCATGTTGGATATATCTTCTGATAGCTTGTTCCAGGTTCTCGGATAACAACTCTGCGCGGCAACACTAAAACATGGAATCCGGAATCCGGAATCCGGAAATGGAATCACGGAAACGGTAACAGAAACAGAATCCGTGAAAGAAGGTTCCAAGCGATCGATTTGAAAAAAAAATAGCAATGACCAAAAATAAATAAATAAATAAACAAACAGATAGAATAAAGACATAAATGAATTAATTACCTAGGCAGAGGAGACTGCTGTATGACTAGAGGAGTCGTTTCCGGTGAAAAGACTTTTCATACCACTTCCGGCAATGAATGTAAATTCTTATGGCAATAACTAGTTCCTTTAGAAAGAGGTAGCTTACATGAAGACAGACTTCGCTTAAATCGACAGAGGTGTCGTTTATTCAACTAAAAAGCGTTGTCGTCAAGTTTTCGCGGCCTGGGTGTCTTTTCTGGGTTGTCTTCAACAGTGTTCAGTTTTGTTTATCAAGGCATCTTACTCATGAGAAACACGGCATTGTGGATAGACTAGGAGTAGTCCCCCATTTTCCCTCAAGGATAGTAGAGCGAGCGAAACGCGAGCGCGCGTGAAAATCACCGCCTTTTCTCGCGTAGGGTGATTTTCACGCGCGCTCGCGTTTCGCTCGCTCTACTATCCTTGAGGAAAAATGGGGGACTACTCGTAGTCTACATTGTGGAGTCCAAAGAGAAGAGAGAATGGTGCATGCATTTGCATGCCTCTTAACAAAAATATGGACGTCAAAGCAAACTCAATTACACCGGTATGCCATCAGCTTTCAGCTGGGTGAAACAGTTGAAGTTATTGCTAAAACACCGGAACTGCCGGGTCACGTCACGGGTCGGTCATGCGTTGAGTAGTGGTCTGAGGCCAACAACTACTACTCTCGGCATTTAGCTAAAAATGTAATGTTTAACTGTATTATTCAACCCATAAACTCATGAATAAAAATTACTCAAGAGAAACACGGCATTGTGGAGTCTAAAGAGAAGAGAGAATTGTGCATGCATTTGCTTAATTTCGCAACTCATTACATCAAAATAATGCGCCATGTTTAATAAGCCTCTGTTTCATCGGCCTTGCAGTGCAATAACCCACACCACGGCAAAGCTCATCAAGCAACAATAACAGGAATATATTTGAGGGGACTGCCAAAAAAACTAAAACAAATTCTGTTTGGATTGTACTAAACTATGCAATGTGAAATTCTTCAATTTTCTATCATTTGTATTTGATTCCGTATTCCGTATTCTGTTTCCGTTTCCGTTTCCGTTTCCGTTTCCGTTTCTGTTTCCGTGATTCCGATTCCGTTTCCGGATTGCATGTTTTAGTGCTGCTCTGAGTTTTCCAACCAATGCGTGAATTCATTGCTTGAAAAACTCATAAAGGATTTAAGTGATATTTATTCTGAGACAAGGAATGTTTAGATAGCAAAATCTCCCAAAATTGGTAATCTTTTTAACCCACATAAGAGCTTTCTCGGCCGCAAATGCCGCGTTACGCAAAAGCCTAGAAATTCAAGCGTCCTCGATCGCAAAACCAAGAACCCTTTAAAACTAAAACTTTGTTAAATAAAGGTGTTTAGGTGCTGTAATACCTTATGAATCTTAGTCTGAATTTTGGTGACGGCATGTGGAAAAACGAGATAAAGTGACGTCATCATCAATAAAGCTTTCAACAAGGTGGGAAAGTAGCGTAGGCCTGGGTACGAGGTTGATAATTCCCGCGTAAAGTTACATCAGCCTCGTCCCCAAGCTGCGTTCCAGAAGAAGAAGGACAAAACCGACAAAACGATGGCTTCGAATTCCAGGTACGATTCTTTTTTCTTTTCCTTCTTAATAGGTTATCGATGTATGATAACAACAAGTAGCCGACTAATATTTGTCTAAGTAGTATTCTTCAGCAAAGAAAGTTTTAGATGCGGTGGGACATTGCACAGGGACATTGTCTTACACGTTGTTTGTGCGCCGAGCGCGAATATTGGAACATAAACGTGCGATTTGAAATGAAATGAACTAAAATGAACTACCGGAAATAACTTATCCGCCGTATTTGTGAAGTGGAAGGAATCTAAGTCCTGTGAATGAGAAACGACGTGATTTATGTGGGAATGTATCATAAGATGGTTAAAACGGTGAAAATGCACATAAGCTCAGTGCCATTTAAGTGTACATACCTCATAAAGAGATGTCTCTGTGTTGTTTTCTTACTGTTTCCTGCCCTATAAACGTCATTTTAGCAAGTTTTGATGTTTATCGATCTTACTATATGCTATTAAATATACCTTCGAGGAGGCTGTTGTGAGTCTGGGGTCCTGTGGTCAAATTTCGATCAGTGGAAAACAATTTGCAGTCTGCAGTGCGCGGCCTGCAGCCTGCAGCGAAAAAAAAAATGAATGAATAAATGCAGTCGAATGATTATTACGGAATCTAAATTGTTTCTAGTATAAAATATTATGCAAATTTAAGAAATTAATCAGTCAGTTGTACATGACTTTTTCAAAGAGTTTAGAGAAGGCTGGAAGAATTGATATTGGCCTGTGGTTACTAAAAAGTATTGGGTCATCTGCCTTAAAAACTGGAATCACTTTGGCTATTTTGAGAGATTCCGGAAACACACCCTTAGACAACAAAGTGTTTATAATGGTTACAAGAGGCTGCGCAATATTTTGGAAAGACTGATGTATTATCTTCATGGATATATTAACATGTCCAGGAGCTGTTAGCGTTGAATGATTTAACAATATTGTTTAATTCACCGACCGTTAGTGGTTGCAATGAAATGGATTCAGAAAGAGAGCTGCTCAAGAAATCCTTGGGTGATGAATTTGTGGAAGGAATTTTGCTCGCCAAATTTGGCCCGATATTGGTGAAGTAATCACAGAAATTATTGGCAATGTCAGTAGGATTGCTAATTTCCATTCCATTTTTGGTGAAGCTTGCAGGATACGGTGATTTAACGACACACCTGTTTTTCCACTTCATTGAGTATTTTCCATGTTTGCTTTAAGTTTATAGATCTAGCCTTATCCAATTTGTTGTCTTAATAATTTTTCCTGGCAACATGAACAAGACAACTTAGCTTATTTCTAAATGACCTATAGTTGGATTCATGCTCATGACTTGGTTTCCTTAGGAATAATTTATACAGCCTAGACTTTGTCTTAATTGATTTCAAGATTCCAGTTGTAAGCCACAGATTATGCAGAGTTTTAGGTTTTTCCCTTGACAAAACTTTATCGGAAAACTCTTGTTATAAAATTCAGTACATTTTTGTAGGAACTCATTGTAAGCGGCATTTTCATCAGCATAAATTAGAGAATTCCAAACGAATTCACACAAAAGGTTGTTAAATGTATTAATATTCTGACTAGAGAAGTTGGGAATGGCAACACTTTCCTTAGACTTAATTGTTGAAGAATGAGCGTCACTGTAACAGAGTGTGAAGATTGGTAAATGGTCCGACAGATCATTAACAATGAGTCCATTGTCACACGAGGCAGAAATATTGTTATTAAAAATGTTATCAATCAGGGTGGCACTGTACGAAGTAAGTCGAGTTGGTCTCGAAATTAGTGGGTAAAGAAAATGAGAAAATAACGCATTAATAAACTCATTCGTAGCTGAATGCAAATCAGTGTTAAGAAGCTCTAACACATTATGTAACACATTTTATTGTCCCTGGTTACCCGGTCAAGCAATTGCTGTAGAGATTAATGAAAAGATTAATGCAATAAGCATGGAGTCAAATGACATCAATTATTTTTCAGTACTGAATGTTAGGTGAGCTCCATACAAACATTGAAATGTTTCTGTTTTCTGTTCTAGAAAAGCAAGGAAAAGAGAAAGGTTGTCATGTTGCTGGTTGGGTATCGTATAGTACTACAATTGTTTTTAAATTTATTTGCTGGGCTTTTACTTATCGATAGACATCATCATACTGACAACACAACAACAAACAAAGATGAAAATAATGTTATCGACATTTTGTTGAAACTAAAAATAGTTAATAGTGTAAAGTAAAGCAATTGCATGTAGGTATATTTTTAAGAACAATTTATCAGTAGTATTTGGTAGTTTCAAAAACTCATTTGCTCCCTCACTTAATGTTGAAATCCTTAGCAAATTGTCAGCTGGTTTCTGAAAAAATTTGTTGCCCAGTTCCTAGCTCTCCAGTTTTACCCAGTGGTCAGTGTATTTTGGATGGGCCATGTGATGCCTTTCATCTAGGTTAAATCACCAGAATGAACTCCCCATGAGGGCCTGGGGAAGGTTGTACAAGTACGATACAAAAACAAGCTAAAGAGATTACCTGACACCTGATATCTTCAACTACATATTTACAGTGCTGACAGAATTGTAGTTGTCTTGTATTCTGTTGCTTTATGTTTTTGTATGGCATCTCTGTGTAATGGTTCTTTTTCTAACGCTGTACTTCTGCTGTTCCATACTCGAGGACTAGGTGCTCTAGTCCAGCAATAGCTTTGGCTCAATGATGCCTCAGTACTGTAAGTACTGTAAGTTCAGGGTATATATTGTGTCCCTGTGTAATGTGCAGTTCTTTTTATAATGTTGTGGTTCTGCAGTTCCATAGTTAAGGGCTAGGTGCTCTAGTTCTACCACGACTTTGGTTCAGTAGTTCCTCGGTATCGTAAGTACAGTGTATGTTTTTTTTTTCTGTGTAATGTGCAGTTCTTTGTCTTATGTTGTGGTTCTGCGGTTCCATAGTCAAGGGCTAGGTGCTCTAGTTCTACCACGACTTTGGTTCAGTAGTTCCTCGGTATCGTAAGTACAGTGTATGTTTTGTTTTTCTGTGTAATGTGCAGTTCTTTGTCTTATGTTGTGGTTCTGCGGTTCCATAGTCAAGGGCTAGGTGCTCTAGTTCTACCACGACTTTGGTTCAGTAGTTCCTCGGTATCGTAAGTACAGTGTATGTTTTGTTTTTCTGTGTAATGTGCAGTTCTTTGTCTTATGTTGTGGTTCTGCGGTTCCATAGTCAAGGGCTAGGTGCTCTAGTTCTACCACGACTTTGGTTCAGTAGTTCCTCGGTATCGTAAGTACAGTGTATGTTTTGTTTTTCTGTGTAATGTGCAGTTCTTTGTCTTATGTTGTGGTTCTGCGGTTCCATAGTCAAGGGCTAGGTGCTCTAGTTCTACCACGACTTTGGTTCAGTAGTTCCTCGGTATCGTAAGTACAGTGTATGTTTTGTTTTTCTGTGTAATGTGCAGTTCTTTGTCTTATGTTGTGGTTCTGCGGTTCCATAGTCAAGGGCTAGGTGCTCTAGTTCTACCACGACTTTGGTTCAGTAGTTCCTCGGTATCGTAAGTACAGTGTATGTTTTGTTTTTCTGTGTAATGTGCAGTTCTTTGTCTTATGTTGTGGTTCTGCGGTTCCATAGTCAAGGGCTAGGTGCTCTAGTTCTACCACGACTTTGGTTCAGTAGTTCCTCGGTATCGTAAGTACAGTGTATGTTTTGTTTTTCTGTGTAATGTGCAGTTCTTTGTCTTATGTTGTGGTTCTGCGGTTCCATAGTCAAGGGCTAGGTGCTCTAGTTCTACCACGACTTTGGTTCAGTAGTTCCTCGGTATCGTAAGTACAGTGTATGTTTTGTTTTTCTGTGTAATGTGCAGTTCTTTGTCTTATGTTGTGGTTCTGCGGTTCCATAGTCAAGGGCTAGGTGCTCTAGTTCTACCACGACTTTGGTTCAGTAGTTCCTCGGTATCGTAAGTACAGTGTATGTTTTTTTTTTCTGTGTAATGTGCAGTTCTTTGTCTTATGTTGTGGTTCTGCGGTTCCATAGTTAAGGGCTAGGTGCTCTAGTTCTACCACGACTTTGGTTCAGTAGTTCCTCGGTATCGTAAGTACAGTGTATGTATTGTGTCTCTGTGTAATATGCTGTTCTTTGTCTTATGTTGTGGTTCTGGGGTTCCATAGTTAAGGGCTAGGTGCTCTAGTTCTACTATGACTTTGGTTCAGTAGTTCCTTGGTATCGTAAGTGCAGTGTATGTTTTGTTTTTCTGTGTAATGTGCAGTTCTTTGTCTTATGTTGTGGTTCTGCGGTTCCATAGTCAGGGGCTAGGTGCTCTAGTTCTACCACGACTTTGGTTCAGTAGTTCCTCGGTATCGTAAATACAGTGTATGTTTTGTTTTTCTGTGTTATGTTCAGTTCTTTGTCTTATGTTGTGGTTCTGCGGTTCCATAGTTAAGGGCTAGGTGCTCTAGTTCTAGCACGACTTTGGTTCAGTAGTTCCTCGGTATCGTAAATACAGTGTATGTATTGTGTCTCTGTGTAATATGCTGTTCTTTGTCTTATGTTGTGGTTCTGGGGTTCCATAGTTAAGGGCTAGGTGCTCTAGTTATAAATGTGGTTCAGTTCTTCCAAAGTCTTCCATGCACTGTAAGAGTGTACTTGTAGATATTGGGTGTCCTGTTTCTTTTTAGGTTGCTATTGTTTTGCACTTGTGTGACTTTCCCCAGCCCTACATGGTTAAATTATTTGCAGTGATGTAACTTAGATGAAGGGTTGCATGGCCTATTAGAAACACAATGACTACACAGTGAAACTTTTGATCCCTGGGAATTAGGCTATAGTGTTCTTCTATTTCTTTTTGTATTGTGGGAATTAAAGCTTTTCAAATTCTTTCAAAGAGCAAAAACCTTTTGGAGTTACCATTTAACACAGTTTTTCTATACCTAATTGCTTCACTTTGCACTGCGTTACGGAGGCGATAAGAGATGAAAATGCTGTAGTAAAACATCTTGCTTCACTTATTCTTAGATCAGTACCAAGAAGGAAGGTGGAATGGCCCACCTATCCACCCATGTACTTAAATTTAGTGGTATTATTAGGTTAATCTTATCTTCTTCTTCTTCTGAAGGCAGTTGTTCAACTCTTCCATAACGGAATACATTCATTGAAGTATAAGGTGAGAGTGTTGCTTACTGTTGGCTTATTTATTTATTATGTAAGATAATAAGAGTTGTTAGTTTTTCCACTATGTTCTGATCCAATATTATTATTCCTTCCTAACAGGTTTCTGACAAGTTTTCTTTTTATAATAAATATTAGATGGAACATGGCATTTTTCATTGTCTAGCCTTTGTTTCTAGGTGAACGTGTCCGATGTTTCTCATTTTTCAAGTAATGTCCATTAGTAAGTAAGTTAGTCAGTAATTAATTAAAAGTAAGTAATTATGTACGTAAATAAGTAAATAGCTTTTTAATTAATCAATGAATTAGTTAAGTAGATAAGTAAGTAATTAAACAACTAATATCAATGAAGAAGGTAAGTAAGTAAATGATTTATTAACAGAGTATGTATATGCTGGCACTATATCTGTTAGTAAGTATTGATAATAAAAATAAAATTTAATAATGATTAAAAAGAAAATGAACATTTACTGTGCATTGATATTGTGAATACTGCTTAAAATGCAATTTGAGTTTTATTATTTTCCATTAATGTATTTATTTATTGTATATTTTGTACTCCAGTTTTTATTTCTACCTGTGTTTTTATATCTTAATCTTTATTTATTCACTAATTTTTAAATAATCATGCCAATAATTATAGCATTTATACTTGATTTTTCAATTTAAATGTTTAAAGCTGGGAACATGGGTTCTCTTTAAACGATCGTTTTTAAATGTATATCTTGTGGTATCTTCCTAGTTTATGCTTAATATGCTCTTATTTTTACATGTGTTGTAAATATTTTTAACTACGGTATAAATGTATTATTTTAAACATTACCTTGATTTTTAATAATTATGGGATATTTTTAGGTATTTCTTTTGGGAGATTTTTTTACGTAGGGCCAACGTCTTAAACTCCCTTTTCAAGGCATTCTTTGTGTACTTAGCCTTAATTTTAAATTTTTGTATTCTTCTAAACATTACCTTGTATTATTTTAAACATTACCTTGATTTTTAATCATTACGGGGTTTTTAGATATCAGCTCGCAATTTAACTTTTTACTGACTATAACCACATTAATTATATTAATCAAAAATCCAGCAAACATTCCCATCACCGATCTTTACAACACACTCTACAGCTGTCTTATATAATCCACCATCACACAATGACGTTTTTGCCAGATCCTGTTCCTCCTTTGATGTGCTGTCTATTGTCAACTCTCCTCAATGCCGCTCACTCACACTGGAACTGAACTACTCACTGTCGTCAGTTTTTCGTACAATTCTTGAACTTCTCTTCTGCCTTGATCTAGCATCTTGATCCTCTATTCATTTGCCTTGATCTAGTATCTTGACCCTCTGTTTCAGTCTCAAATTGAGCTCTCTTTATTATCTCTTTCTTAATTCTACATTTATGTATTGTTTGTGTTGACAGTGCCAATGTGTTTAAGTGTCCTTCATGTGAGAGAGAGAGGCATGAGAGAGAGAGTGGCATGTGTGAGAGAGAGATAGAGAGAGTGTGTGAGCCCAAATGCCCAACTGCGCGTGTCTGTGGTAAAGATTGCATAACTTGCACATTAAATTGTATTGTTTACCATTCAAGCATTTTTGTCTTAAAAAGTATATTTATGTATATTATTCCTTTCTGCTATGTTTGCAATGTTTTTAAAGAATTACAGGTATGTTCTGCATGAGGAGGATACGAGGACACAATCCCGCAACCTTTAAC